GAGGAAAATTATTAAAATAACCAAAAGGGAATATAATTTATTCAATATCCACCCCATCTGTCTGCATAATTCTGGATGGAAAATAGCTGCGTATGTGAAGGGTGTTCGATCCTGTTTAAGCTGTATGAGAGCAGAAACAGTTATGGTTGTTCCAAAAGTGTTGTTGTCATATGGTTGAAACAAGCTACATTGAACTTATCACTGACCCACAAGGGGACACAACCCAAATGTATGTTTCTTTCCTAGTTGAGTTATTAGTTAAAATTGGAGCTAAGACCTTGAAAATTGGATTTGATATGATTATTTAAATCATGGATGAATTTTGGTAAAGGACGCAATTTTCTCAAAGAAATGCATTTCTCATATTTCTTTCTAAATTTTCTGGCTAGTAGCAGATGAAAAGCAATGTATTCTTGTTAAAACAATTGACTGAAATTTAGTGTTCGTTATAACTATGCACACAAGATACATAGTGTAAAGGATAGATGCCCAATTTTGATTTGTATGTTCTCAGATATTGCATTTGTAACAATCTAGAAGATGTGGATAAATTTGTATTAGATAATTCCTATCATGTTTTTGTTCTTGTAAGTTTGGTATTCAAGCATGTCACATCATTATTACGGTCTTAGTTGACATATATTGGTAATAACTTCTATCTGAATTTTTGTTAATATACTCACAGAGTTAGTCATTCAATTAGAGTATCACATATACTTTCTCATGGGAAGGATTGTTATGACATGCAAATCTTTTCTACTGACGGTGGTGCCTAGGGATACGAAATCCCGTTTCTTAGTGAATGGCAATATGTCATGTAGATGGCGCCTGTGCCATCAATGGAATGGCATTATTCTTCATTCTCCATATTTCCATGCTCAGTCCAGAATATGATTATAATACGAAAAGAATAATGTTTCTACTTTATTTTTTATAAACATAGATGTGATACACACTCTAGTAATGCAAAAATGCAGTTGTTTTTAAAATCTTTGATTACATTTGTTTTAAATAAATATTTCAATTTGTGATACATTATATCCAATTTCTCTTTTCTTCGAACTCAAGTGTGGTTAAGGTAACTTAGATTTTGCTTTCCAATTAACCTCCAGTTATTCTCTGACTTCTAGCCAATTGGTGAACCAGAGAACAGAAAAGAATAGGTAGGAAGAAATTCTTATGCCATAGCCACACAATTTGTTTTTGTATAGTTGTCCTGGCGAGAGCATTTGACTATGCTTTTCTGAAGTCTTTTGTTATTGAGTTGAAGCTATGTACTTGAGAAAATTTCATTTTACTTGAGTTGAAAGACTTATAAACAGGAGAAATAGTTAACTTCTGAAGAGTGATAATTACCAGAGAGTGTGTTAGGTTTTGGAAAAGTGTTCTTGCAGGCTTTCATGAATGTTGCAAAGGTCCATGACTTCTTTCTTGTTACTACCACAGATCCAAGAAGGATTACTGCCAGAATCGTTTACACCCAGGATAGTCAAACAGTTCTACCCTTCAAATTTCACCCTTGTGCACAGGAAATACAGACTACTGGGGATCACTGTATAGGTGTGCAGTCTTGTGAGTAAGACTGGATAAGAAGAGTCTCTACACAACTCCCAGGCAATCTCCAACCAGAGTAAACAACCTAGCTTTGGTTGATGCTATCTGTGAAGATGGTGATCTGTGGAACAGCGTTGAGCCTCTGGGTAATAGTAGATATATTGCTAGGTTGAGCATGGATCACTAAGAAGCCTCAGTTCATGCACAGCTAAAGAATTATGTACTTCGGGTAACTCGCCATTCTGCAACCACAGGGCAGATATCTAGCACCTGCCCAAGTGTAGAGGTCCTTTTACTGACCAATTCTACTACACAGTCGACATTAAGTACATCTCAGCCTGGTGTTAGCTTAGAATCCAAGGGAAAAAGTTTATACCAACATCACAGGTCCCTGTGAGCAATACTAAACAGATTTCTCCTCAACATGTAAGAGTATGGCCAAGGAATTTATGAATCACTTCTCTAAACATTCCCAACAAGTCACTGTCTGGAATGAATCGATTCAAGGAGAGACAGTGTAATGCCTGATGTTGAATCTGTATGGTTCAGTGTTTGGCTCACTCATTTGATGAGAAGCAACACAGCTCCAATGCTGGTTGATATGCTGACTTGATCTTAGCTAGGTCACCACACACATTTAGGATATTCGCTAATTCTAAGATCAATGACCAAAAAAGCATTCCTTGTTTTCCAAGATATTGTGTTACTTCATGTTTAAGTATATGGAATATGGACTACATTGTGCAATTCCTACTCAGTCATCAAAAAGTAAGGATGGTTCAGTGATTGTAATATCAGTGGGAATGAAAAGGCATTGTGACCATTACTTTTTAAGTTTTTTTCTGAATTTTGCACAAAGCTACTCGAGGTCTATCTGTGCTAGCCATCCATGATTTAGCAATGATGGGAAGGCTGCTAGTCAACACCACCCAACCAATATTTTATTTGGCTATGAATGAATGTTTATACTCATGCAAATTTAATTATTTTGAGAAGTATTTAGTTTTTAATATTTTCCTATCCCTGTTTCAGTACAAGGTGCAGTTGAAATGCATATTGTGAGTGCACAACTAAAAGCAAGAAGTAATACCGAGTACTATTGCCTTGTTGTTAACATTTAACTTTGCTAAACTTGTGCCTGAAGGAATCCAATGAGATGTCAGAGTTATTATGTTTTATATTCAGAAGATTGAGGTTAGCACCAGTGAAGTGGCTGACATATTTTGATTAGTTTTTACGTACCAATGTTTACCTCCCCTACTATACCTGGGTTCTTTTTGCATAACAACCACAGTAATGAAAATAATGTGGATGGATTAGATGATAACCGTTTGCATTGGAGTGATGATAGTGGATAGAACTGAGTGTTGGTCATATATGAGACATATTGAAGCTTGGTGGACCATTACATCTACAGGTGTGATACACTATTTATTGGTGACATACATATAAAACTATAGCAATGCCACTTGTTCATGGTTATAGCTAGGCCATCATAACATTCAAACTTACACCACTTCCGACTAATCAATGTTCATGTGACCACACATCTCTCATTCCTGACTTTATGATTGAATCATTGACACTTTTTTACTGTCTACTTTTTGATTGAATTTGCCAGAGGTTTTATACGCATTTATTTCTGTTAACGTGACCCATGTCATTGCTCTCAGAGAGGAACATCAACCCAGACAATAAGACCAAAACAATTATGGAGATCTCTCGTCTAGATATCAACTTACATTACACGTATAAAAGAAAAAAAACATTCTGCTGGCAAGATCTTCTGAAATACAGATGCTGATGGTGGAATAAGTCAGCGGCAACTTTCGCAGAATTTGGGAATCCCGCTTTCGACAGTCAACAGAATCATCGTGCAGTTCAGGAAACAACTGAGTAGCGTCTGGATCGTCCTGGTTCATCAGAGAGGACAAAAAGGGCTGTCAAGAAGAGCATCGAAATGGATCCAAGATTAACGACTGCAGAAGTGGCCAAAGTTGGTGGGATGAGCCCGAAATCTGTTCAACGGATTCTCCACAGATTGGGTTATCGTTGCAGAGCAGCTAGACGGAAGCCCTTATTAAGACCTGTCAACATAGTCAGACGAAAGAAGTGGGCAACTGATATGATGACCAAGCCTCTGGACTTTTGGAAGACCGTATTGTTCTCAGACGAATCAAGATTCGCTCAATTTTCAGACACTGGAAAGATATGGGTCTGGAGAATGCCTCGCCAAAAGTTTTGGCTCAACAGATTGCAGCCAACTGTGAAGCATGGTGGTTTCAGCGTGATGATTTGGGGAGCTGTTTGGGTTGGTGGGAGATCGAGCTTAGTGGAGTGCGTTGGTAACATAAATTTTGCGAAATACGTCGAAATATTAGAGGAAGGACTCTTGCCACTTTATTCCTCTGGTTTC